AAATTCAAGAAGCTGCTAGTTCCCCCAAAGTATATTTTCTGACTAGGAAACCCATAAAGCACATATATAGTGCACATATGGCAGAACCATAGTATTCCTTTGGCTTGACTATGTGTTTACTTCCAGTTGGTCCAACTGTGACTCAATTGGACTGCTTGTACTGGCAGCCCACAGACCTCACACGGCTACATCCAAAACTGGAATCTGACCTCTTGGCAACTACACCAACTTGGTGGCTCTTTGTCATCATGCAATCAACTACTGCTCACCATCCCTTTCTTTCAGTTGTTTCCAACCAATGAGCCCGCAGCCAGAAATAAAAATACTTATTGTTTGTCTTCGGATATATAATCTGACACTTGGTATTATTGAATTTCTTTCCATTTATATTGTTCCAATTCATGAGCTCATCTAAATTTGTCCTGCATAATTTCCTGCTCTTTCTCTTTATTAACAATACCTCTCAGATTGGTGTTATTTGTATATTTCATCAGCACACACTCCTAGCTCACTGAGACAGAGCATCACATATGTATGTCTGAGACAGATTAAAATAAAATGTTTGCTTCTTTCCACTTAAGATATGTTTTAAATCCATGCCAGATATCATATCCTCTTTCAGGATATTGTCCTCAGACTATTCAAGCAAGAAAAGAAACAGAGATCTGATGGCCACTTAAAAGAAACAAGAGTCCAGGGATCTCCTCATACATGCTGCTGGAATCTGCAAGGATCCCTGTGAGTTGTGGCTATTGCGGTGGCATCCACCTAGGGTGGCAGCAGGGTGGGGTTTTTTGGGGGTTTTTTTTTTCAGTTTCCTCATGGAGCCACCGTGGAAATACTTTTCCCGGATGTGATGGGAGCCATTGGGCTACATGGCAAAACTGCTAAAAACCTGTTGCTGCTGCCGCAAAATAGCTCGTGTGAAGATGTCCTTAGTTCAGTGCTGTAATGCAACAGAAAATATTATAGCTGTGTTGATCAGGAACCAACTACAGTATAACTTCCATAGTCATGGGGGATACATTCCTGAACTTTTCATTGAATTGTGAAACCCAAATGCACCATTTGTGGACCTTGTCTATAAAGTCAAACTTTCATCGTCCATCTGCGATACTGATGAAGTACTTCCGCATTCCCCGCATGCTTTTGCTAGAGTGCTTTGCTGAAGTCTTTTTTTAATGGCCTCATAAATTAGTTAAATTAGCCTCCCCACACATAGGTGGTACCTAATTTTCCTACTTGACAGATGCAACTGTCTTTCGGGTTGCAAAGGTCGACAACAAGCTACACAATTGGTCAGAAGCTCACTCCAACCCAGGCTGGCTTTGAACTCATGACATTTTGCTCACAAGTGATTTTAATGCAGCTGACACTCAGTCAACTGTGCCACAGTCCCGGTGCATTTAAGATCCTTCTCAATGTTCTCCTTCTCAATGTTACTGAGAGTTAACTGAGATGACCCTTTGCTTTTGGCTCCATTCCAAGAAAGATCAGGTGATCTAGCTGAAGCTCCACCCCACAAGCAGATGACCTCAAGCTCAAGGCATCAGGCAGAGATATCAGCACACTAGACACGAGAACAACCACAAAGCGTTAAAAACAAACACACCATCTTAGAAACAAGCATCCAGCCTTTACACAATAAGAAACAAACACTCAGCTTTCTAGCACACTCCAAGAGTCAAGCTCTACCCAAGAAAGACTCACCTCCTGCTTCCTCTTCAGCCACTGGTCCCCTGATCACCACTTCTAGTTCTGAACATTTTGGATAAAGGATACTCAACCTGTATAAGGTATCTTTCATAAGTCCATTCTTCCTTCTCTTCCTTCTCTGCTGTAAAGATATACATAGGTCAGAGCATCCTAGTTCTCACAAGGTCTATGAAAGTCTAACTCCATAAACACAATTGCTTCTATATTTCTGTAGCACTGTCTTTGTACCTCTCAGGGTCTGAAGAAAAGCCCATAAACCTATCAGCTGGTGCGAGAGAGACAGTTTACAGAACATATTTTCTGAAGTGCATGCCACGTGGGAAAAGACTCCTAACACATTCTCAGAGAAGCCACACAGTTTCCAGGGACAGTAAAAGCAATAGAAACTGCAGCTCTTCCACAGCAACACATTTGCTGTGCCAAGAATCCCTTATAGCTCCAAAACACATGAGGATTCACAGGCATAGCTTTTGGCAGTAGCAGACCAGTTTTGTGTTTTTAGCAATGTTGTGTTGTGAAAAAGTAAGGAAAGGCAGTGTAACTTTGGAGCCATTTAAAAATGAGACGTTATTTTAGAAGATCACATAATTCTTAACTGCTGCACTCCTAGTCCAACATATTTATTTTATTGATAAAAGTATGCTTTCCAACCTGAAGGAAGGCCTCCAGAGTGGTTTCCCTCAGAGAACAAAAACAAGATCTGGGATGCAAGTTGTGCTACAGAGAGATCTGCCAAGGTTTTGTCAGGTGTGCAAAGCTCTCAGTACCATTTGTATGTGCGTGTGGCTGCACATTAGTGCCCATGCGTGCACGCTCAGGGTTTTGAAATATTTCTTGAGAAGTCTGATTCATTGCTTCACAAAACTGAAATGTTTGTACTGTGGAGATAGATGTTTTTCATATGCATTCCATTTCCGTAGGTACTTGGTTTCTGCTATGCAAGCATTATGTTCCTGTGCTTTTAGGCACATGATAAGCATAGGCAGAGAACTTAGTGAAAAATGAAGCATTTATCAGAAAGGAACAGATACTAGAAAAGTGCTTTGACTCACTAGTAGGCGACTCTGTGTTGCTTGAATGTTTCCACATGTGAGTTAACAAATGGCTTTTATATTCACTCCCCGCTATGAAAAATCTATAATTCCAAAGTGCACATGCTGCCTTGATTTCATTTTCAGCCTATCACTTGAAACTACACTTGCCCAGTTTGGCTCCAGTTTAAAATAAATTGACATGGAATCTGATGAAGACTAAATATTTAAGTGCTCCTCAAGGTCCAAAGGATGCGTTAAGCATGGGCCAGAGGCTGCAAGTAGATCTCAGCCTATTACTGTGGTCCACATTTCATATAATCATAGATGGAATTGATTGAATGGTTCGTCCAGTCTAACCCTCTGCCATGCAGAAAAAGCACAATTAAAGCACTTCCAATGGATGGCCATCCAGCCTCTGTTTAAAAACCTTCAAAGAAGGAGCTTCCACCACACTCTGAGGCAGAGAGTTCCACTCTTGAACAGTTCTTCCAGTCAGGAAGCTCTTCCTATTGTTCAGGTGGAATCTCCTTTCTGGCAATTTGAAACCATTGCTCCGAGTCCTAGTCAGCAGGACAGCAGAAAATAACCCTGCTCCCTCTTCCTTATAGCATCTTTTCACATATTTAACATGGCTACCATGTCTCCTTTCAAACTTCTCTTCTGCAGGCTAATCAGACTCAGCTATTTAAACTGCTCCTCATAGGGCATGGTCTCCAGACCTTCTATCATTTTAGGTGTCCTCCTCTGGACATGTTACATCTTGTCAATATTTTTCTTAAATTGTGGCACCCAGAATTGGACACAGTATTCCAGGTGAGGTCTGACCAAAGCGGAATAGAGGGGCACCATGACTTCCTTTGATTTAGACACTATCCCCCTTTTGATGCAGCCCAGAATCTCATTGATTTTCTAAGATGCTGCCTCACATTGTTGGTTTATATTCAATATATTGTTTACTAAGTGTCCAAGATCTTTTTCACATGTATTGTTGTCAAGCCAAGTGTCACCCATTCTGCATATCCTCTTGATGATTAAAAAAGGTGATATTTCTACTCTTGAAAACTTCCATGAGTAATATCAATGGCAGTTGATGACTTCCCTGCTAGAGTGTAGTGAGCCCATTCTGGGTTTTATTCTAAAATTCAAAAAGATGGTGAAAACTATCCCCAAAAACAGGTCTAGCACCTTGGATAGCTCCTTTCAAGTCTGGACTAAAACTGAAAGTAAATTCATTACGCCTCTTGACGTGGAAGGCATTGAGCATCACTGAGTGTATTGTGTTCGTAAAACATTAAAAGGAACCATAAATAGATTCCATTTTTGCCTGCTTGTCTGCCTCCCTCCTTTCTACTTGTTTATTTATATCCTGTGTTTACTTCAGTTTGGAACTCAAGGCAGATTACACAGATTTCTAGATGTTAACAATTCAGATAATACAAAAGTGAAAAGTGTTTAAAATTCAAAAAATTAAAAACCAGTTAAAAACATGATTGATAAAAAACCCACCACAACAAAGTGTGCTACCAGAGGGCATGACCCCATGTAGGATCCCATCACCAGAATTTGTTTCTTCTAAATTTCCTAGGTCTGCTATGAAGTATAAACACAGTATGTCCTCTTTGCATATTCTACCTGAACATTGTTCCAGAACCAATGGATAGCAACCCATTTTTAAGGTTATGTGATGTCCTGATTAATCCACGTGACAAAAGAAGACTGAAAGTAAAAATAAAAGTTTCCCCTGACATAAAGTCTAGTCATATCCAACTCTGGGGAGTGGTGCTCATCTACATTTCTAAGCCAAAGAGCTGGTGTTGTTCATAGTCACATCCAATGTCATGTGGCCAGCATGACTGCATAGAGCACCGTAACCTTCCCGCAGAAGTGGTACCTATTTATCTACTCACATTTGCATGTTTCCAAACAGCTAGGTTGGCAGAAACTGGGCCAACAGTGGGAGTTCACCCCGCTCCCTGGATTCAAACCGCCAACCTTTCAGTCAGCAAGTTCAGCAGCTCAGCAGTTTAAACCACTGCGCTACCAGAGGGCATGACCCCATATAGAATCCCTTCAGATTTTTTCCTTCTAAATTTCTTAGGTCTGCTATGAAGTATAGATACAGGATGTTCTCTTTGCATATTCTACCTTAACATTGTTCCATAACCGATGGACAGCAATCCATTTTTTAAGGTTATGTGATATCCTGATTAATTCATGTGAGAAAAGAAGAAATATATGTCAAAAATCCACTTTCCTTTGTGATACACAACTACAGAAGAATTTAAAATGATTCTCCATATTTTAAGACGCTCATCAAAGCCATGGCTCACAAATATGTATGCCCATGTTACATTTGATAGAAGCTCAAAGGGGCCTTTTAGTGCCACACTGAAAACTCAGTGCAACTGGGTAGCTCTCCATTGACATTATGGCTTGCAATAGAATACAGGCAAGTAAGCAGTCTCTCAATACTCGTAAAATAAAAAGAGAAATATGGGACTTAGCAAACAAGTTTATGTAGCACCAGGGCTCTGTGGATGAGGTGAGCATAGTTCTGCATTCAAGCTACATCATAGCAGTCTCTTTGGTCTGCTTAACATTACACCAGATTCAACAGACAGCTTAATGGATGATCCACAGCAGTGCATGACTTTTTCCTCCTTTTTCTTCTTTTTTCTCCTCTTTTATTGGGACTTACTTTGAATAGTCAGAGTCCAGGGAGCCACGTCTGGTGGCCCAAGGCCAGCTCTCTCCTCCCACCTTTTCCAAGTACTGTATGTTGCCTTTTGCCAATGCAACTGGCTACCCTGTCTGTCGCAGTTCTCTACCTTTGGGTACAATATTTTGTTTCTTGTATGTATTTTTAGTAAGAGCCTCAAAGAGTCTGAGGTAATTCAGCCAAAGTCAAGAGAGTTGTTTCTGGGTCTACTATAAATGAAAAGAAAAGCAGACACAGAGGTATTTTCAAAAGAAAGAATTCCATGCCCTTCTCATCTGGAATGCGATTTGATGATATCCTGTTAAATTTGGTCTCTCCAAGGTTCCACAGTCTGTAGAAACCCATAATCTGGAAGACAGAAAGAAAGTGGGGATCGAGCGTCAAAAGATTATTTATTAGTTTTTGTTTTTAAATCAAGATTCAAAAAGTGGGATATTTATTGTGTGTGTGTGTGTGTGTGTAATTTCATTGTCTTTGGTGCCTTCTGCTTTTTGAGATCATCATAAATCATATTCTAGTATTGTTTAGCATGAATAGCTGCTAGACATGAGTCATATACCCATGGGACCAAACTGGGAGACAAAAAAGAGAGGTGTACAGTAAACACCAGAGGCAGAAAGACTCTATTTCTCTATCAAAAGTATCAGTTTAAACAGGATGCCTTGAATGAATAGCCCTTCCTGTTCAGAATGGTCAACCACAGACCAAAGGATTATTCACTATCAGTAAGCCATTTCAAACTACAGTACTGTGAATTTATCATATGCTTCAATACCAAACAGAAACAGAGCATTCTTATTCTAACCCTACTGTCTCCTGAAATATTAGGAAAATATGATATTTCCATTGATTTTTAGAATTCAAAACTGTATGAGTGAAATATAATTTGCCAGGGTGAGCTTGTTTGTAATGGCTGAGCTAGGTAGTCCATATAAGAGTGACACTAGTCATGTGAAGTTAAAATGGAGAAACAAAATCTCATATGGTGTAAGTGAAATATCTTAGTGACAAGGCATTAGACTTACATGCAAAAGTTTAAAAGATCTACACCTGACGTCTTGAGATAAGAATGGAAAACCCTTGAGAGCTATTGCCAGTCAATAGAAACAATACAAAGTTGGAAGAACCAATGTTCTGTCTCTGTATAGCTTGCAGAAGGATGGGAATTCCACTGACTTTGGGATCCTGGTTGATGCTTATAAAATTAACACACTGTTTAGAGTCCAGATGTTGACCACAGTGTACTGGAGGACCCAGAGGTTCTGAAAGAGAACATATTAATGAAATCCGCAAATAGAGAACTCTCTATGGAAGTTGACTGTAGATGTATCCCAGAGGAACTAGAGATTTTTAGAAAGGTACCCTCTGAATAAAAGCTTTTTTAAATTCATGTTTTTCCACTTCCACAGAGTTTGTGTGACCCTAACCCTTGTAAAAGTGGAGCGCATACTGTACTCTTTGTACATGGTAAAAACATGCTAAAAGTGTCCCACAGTGACATGAGGAAAAAGGTTGAATAATACAAAATAATAAAATTTCCAGATAATTTGAAAATGACAACTCTCAGAGAGAGACTCAAAGTGATTATAAATGAAGATATAGCTTCTTTGTGAAAGTAAAGCAGGCAAGGAAAGGAGGAAGTAGAGCAAAAGTAGGAGCTAGAGCATATAACTATTTAAAAGAAATCTTAGCCATTTCCATTGGCTCATAATAAAGGTAACTTTACATTCTTTCGGGTGATTATTTTTAGGAGATTGGTCCTTCTGGGGTGACTAACACATCTATTAGTCCAATTATATTCAGTGATAATTACACTGCAGAGTTTTAACACTTTATTATGACATCTGAGTACCCATTGGGAAAGTCGGCCTTTCTAAATCTCTGGGGCTTTGGAAATGAGAGCCTGTAATTTTATGATTTCCAGACTTGCTGTGAGCCTTAGGTCAGGATTAATACCTTTGCTCTGGGCAGTACAGAGCCATCTCACTCTTGATTGAAATGAGATGTTCTCAGTGAAATACCAGGTCTTTTTTGAAAAGGTCTCTGTTACATTTGTAAAAATTAGCTTGTTCCAGACAGCATGCTGGGAAAACCTTGCAGTGATATGTGCAACTGTGTTTGGTAGCTCTAAAGTAACTGTAGTAAGACTTTAAATCACTAGCTGGAGCAAGTGAGAAAAGAGCTATGTAGCCCAAACTGCATTATTGTAAAGTATTCTTTATACTAAAAGCAATTGTTCAGTGCATGCTGACTTATTTTTGTTGTGCATGGATACTTCGAAGATTTGACAAATAACCACGTCTGGACATGGACAACATGGTAAATCACAATTCAAGAGAAGTCAAATTTCCCTCAGACAAATCAAAGGAATAATTTGGGATTTCTTATATATTTTATTCTTTGAGTGGTGGGAGGGATACATCCCTCCCTCCCTCCCTCCCTCCTTCCTTCCTTCCTTCCTTCCTTCCTTCCTTCCTTCCTTCCTTCTTTCCTTCCTCTGTATATAATAGTAAGGGCACTTCCACAGTGGCTTAAATGTGTGCTGAACCAGGTTTAAAAAACTCCCATTTGGACCAGTTTAAGTTTATACACGTAAGTTTAAGTTTATATCTCAAAAACCTGGGCCTTCCGAGGGGAGGGGGTGTCTACATGTCATCTTGATAACTATCAGGATGATATGCAGCCCACTCCAAAGCTCCCAAAATAAGCCCTTAAAAGTTTTAAAAACTTACTTGGTCACCATTATCTTCCTCCTAGCACCCTGCTTTGTTCTAAATTAATTTGGTTTTACCTTAGGTATCATTTGGACACCTCCAATAAAACCTAGACAGGGTGGCCTAGAAATCAACTTATTGAGCAGTTATTATTGTTAAAAAGGCCTCCTCTTAAACTAAGGACCTTATCACACAAATATCAGAAAAAAGCATTTTCAAGTAGGCGAGACTCTGTTTAAGAACGCTAACTGAGAACTAGGTACCTACTCACTGCATCTCACATGCTTCTTTCATTTCCATATCTAAAAAAAAAAATGCACCCCAGACTTATCACACAATTGTGATATGACTCCTCCCAATCCATTCCATATGTTCCCCTACATTGCTGTCTTCCTGTTTTTTGACAGATCTTGCACAACCATGTAAGTTTGTGTCCTCTATCTCGATCAAGAAACGTAAAAACATATTTTGTTCCTACAGAACTGTGCAGTTCCATATTTTTTTCTTAAAAAAAGGAAACAATAATGAGAAAGTGGAAATTACTCATGGTTTTTCTGTGGCTGCTACCAGAAGTGTACTTCCAGTCATGTTGACAAAGGAGAAACAAGTGGGATGAAAAGACTGCCTACAAGTGTCCAATGAAACAGACCTTGTATCATGTGATAGGCAAAGATCCTCAGAAATGGACTATAAGAATGATATAAGGACTTCAAATGGTCCAGTCAAGAACAAGTATGACAGAATTGTTACCTATGCAAGGGGTGGCAGCATGCATGCATAGGGCTATTATTATACTGGAGTTAAAAAAAAAAGTAATTATGCTTTCCTTCCAAAATGTATCAAAATGATCTCTAAAGTTTGTATTAAAGGGCATTTACACCATGTTTGCAGACCTCCTGTATTCCTAGGAGATGAGTTATTTTTTCTGTGTATTTTTTGTCGTTAAAAAATAGCCCAGGAAATCCCCAAGACATGGTGAGGATTCCCTCCTTACCTTAAAGGGCATTTGTGGGGGATTTGGTGCAGAAATTTGCCCTTTGTCTGCAGGAGCAGATGCAGTATGGCATGTGAACACGGGCCTAGCTTCCACTGTTGCCCAACCATAAGCTACATCATATTCTGACAGAGTATTCTAAGTATCTCATAAAATTGCATATTCCATAGTTTCATAGAATGGGGCCAGGACAATTAAAGTGGTATGAAACTGATAAAAATTGTTCAGTGCAAATACACCCATATTTTATTTTATTTATTATTTATTTGCAGTATTTATATTCTGTCCTTCTCACCCCGAAGGGGACTCACAGCAGATCACAGAACACATATACGGCAAACATTCAATGCTGATTATAACAATGACAAGACAGACAACAGAGGTATATTATAGGCTTTCCCAACCTTTTGGCATCTTTGGAGACTGTGCTTGGATCTGGCCATTGGGGGTACTGTCATTCCACCTCCCTGCCGAAGAACTTACCCTGTTTGTAAACTTCCTCCCTTTTCTGATCGAAACACCGAGCCTAAATACCTCCCTTCTTTAATGCAGTTCCTATTTATCTAATAACGTTTGTTTTCAAACTGCTAAGTAGGCAGAAGCTGGGCTAAAGATCAGGAGCTCATCCTCACATGGGCTTTGAACTGTCAATCTTCCACTTGGCAAGATTTACTGCAGCTTGGTGATTAACCTGCTGTGCTAGAGTTCCAATATTCCCTTGAAAACACTGTATTATATGCTTTCTAGTCCACCAAGTAAAGGTTTCCAGGTTGGAATGAGATTTTCCTGCTTCTTCCAACCTTATGATTCTATCACATTTCTAAAGGATAAGAACAATACTAGTGTATATGAGAATGACATGTGTTGCCTAATTTTGTAGAAATAACAATATCTAATTCATTTTCAACATCAACTTCCAAGCTAAGGAACCAGAAATGATCTGTAATATATCAGCCACATTATGTTGGGATCTTAACAGAAGGATCAATACCCCAAATAAGGTATGGTATTTGTTAATGATTGTTAATGATTGTTACATCCCAATTAAATACTGCAATGCACTCTACGTGGGGTTGCCTTTGAAGACTGTTCAGAAACTCCAACTAGTCCAGCGGGAGGCAGCCAGAGTACTTACAGGAGCGTCATACAGCGAGCATACCACCCCCCTGTTATGCCAGCTCCACTGGCTACTGATCCAATTCTGAACACAATTCAAAGTGCTGGTTTTGACCTTCAAAACCCTATACGGTTCTGGCCCAGTGTATCTGTCCGAACGGATCTCTCTCTACGTCCCACCTCGGAGTCTAAGATCTTCTGGGGAGGCCCTGCTCTCGGCCCCACCTCTATCACAAGTGAGATTGGCGGGGACGAGGAGCAGGGCCTTCTCAGTGGTGGCCCCTCACCTATGGAATTCACTCCCCGGGGAAATTAGATCAGTGACATCCCTCCTTTCCTTTAGGAGAAAATTGAAAACATGGATTTAGGACCAGGCATTCGGACAATCTGGCAGATAAATAAAGGACTTTGACGGTTGACAAGAATGGACAAAGTGGAATGGAATTTTGGAACTCTGAAGGATGAACGCTGAGCTTGAGATTACTTTTATTGATTGTGTTATATATTGACTGTTTTAACTGTTATAATTGTTTTAATTGCTGTTTTATATGTATGTGTATTACTGTGTAGGCATCAAATTGTGCCATTTGTAAACCGCCCTGAGTCCCCCCCTCGGGGGTTGAGAAGGGCGGGGTAGAAGTACTCGAAATAAATAAATAATGAATAAATAACCTCATTCAGAAATAGCAGTAATTTCTATTCTTCCATGCTTCTGTGGCACTGAAGAGCTCAAAATGCCACATTTTCCAAGGTGGTTCTGTTCCAGCAAGTTTCTATGCTATTCCAACCTCTTTGTTTCTTTTTATCTGTTACTGGCTTCTTTGAATGATCTATTTTGGGACATTTTATTGTTTTATATTCCTCCAAGCTCCTTTGACTGCAAGCTTTACAGAACAGTGGGATGTAGATTACAACAACAAGCAAACAACCACTATGGGGTTGTTCATTTTTTTTCAATTTTAATAAAACCTATGTTTTAATAAAGTGTTATTTTTAATAAAGTCTATATAGGGTCATCATATGAGTTTTAGTGAATAAACACAGGTACTTAAAAGTGGAGAAATACCACATGCTCTTTTTATGTCATGTGTAGAATCAGTTTCAATCCCCTGTTCTCCAATGAACACCTATCTTCTTAACTTTTGAAGGTCTAATTATTCACATAGGAATTTATGTTTTCAAGATCAAACCTCGCCAAAATTCTGCTCTAACTTTCAGAATGTATAAAGAGCACCCACAGATGAAAACAATTGTTGTACTACCTTTTGTTCCCCTCTTTCTAATACAATTCAGTTCCATCTCTGCTAATGGGAGATAGTTTGTAAACGTATATTGAAAGAGTTGTTCACTTCAAATGCATTTCGCAGGCCTCTGAGCTAGTCATTCTCACCTCATGAATTCAAAAGTGTCTATGAATCTGGGGATTGTTGTTGGAGGATGATCTCATCTCTCAGCTTTACAAATTCTCTCGTTTCATTTTCCTCTGCAACTTGTTCTGTATATTTACAGCCAAACTTTGCTGACAAGGACAAATTAGCTGGCCTTCTTTTATATTTTGGGTTGTGTTCACCACCAAAGGCAATGTGAGACATGGGTTCCCACTCAGAAAACAACATTCTTTGTGGTGGTTTCAGACATTTATATGTCTACAGAACTAGGCATTTACAATACCTCAAGTACAGCATTCAGCGATGACATCAGAAAAACGGCCATTCCAACATGGCATTTGCAGCTGCCAATTAGGTTTTTAACAAGTGATGTAGGAAAAGTGGTCTCCAACTCTAGTGGTGTATGTGGTCCACCTTGTAAAGTGCACATATGTCTCACCTACTGCTCATATCATAGGTGCTAAGAGAAAGAAATGGTTCCATGAATTAAGAGTTGAAACCTTGCATCAGGCTACATACTATATATACACTTGTCTATAAGTTGACCTCATATATAAATTGAGGGCAGGTTTTGAGCCCCAAAATTATAGATTTCGATAGGACCTGTGAATGAATCAAGTCTCCTTCTGCAGAGATGAGAAAATGGTAGCATTGTTATTATAATATTTATATCCCACTTTTTTCTTGTAAAAGAGAGTCATGCTCCTTCTACACTGCCATGTAACCCAGATTATCAAAGCAGATAATCCACATCTGCTTTGAAATGGGTAAAATAAGTCTACACTGCCATATAATCCAGTTCAAATTAGATAATCTAGATTTTATATGGCAGTGTAGAAGGAGCCTCAGGCTCCTTGTATACTGCCGTATAAAATCCAGATTACATCAGTGTAGAGGCATATAATCCAGTTCAAAACAGATAATGTGGATTATCTGATTTGATAATCTGGATTATATGGTAGTGTAGAAGGGGCCTCAATGTGACGTACTTTCAAAAAATAAAAAAGAAGATAAAAACAAGAGGAGCTCTACATACTTTGTAAGTAATACAATGTTTAGATCAGCAATTCTCAACTTGGGGTCCCCAGATTTTTTTGGCCTTCAACTCCTAGAAATCCTAACATTTTGTAAACTGGGTGGGATTTCTTGTAGGCCAAAAACATCTGGGGACCCCAGGTTGAGAATCACCAGTTTAGATCCTCTAAGAATCTTGAGTTACAACAATTAAACATAAAAACATGACTCTTTGATCAAGCCTTTGCATAACCTATGCAATAGACAAATACAGAATTTTGTGCATGGACAATTGGAACGGCCTGGATCACAATTAGGAATAGTGTGGTTAATAGTGATGATATTGTTAATGTTTAAAATGTTCTGATGTATTTTATAATCCCATTTAAATGTTTTTGTAATTTTACATTGTTTTAATGGCATACCTATGTTGTAAGCCTCCCTGAGTCCCCCCCAGGGTGGAGAATGGTGGGTTAAAAATGCCGTAAGTAAATAAATAAATAAATAGAACACATTTGTGGGTGTATATGTAAGTATCAGGCCTAAAGCAGAGTTTGCAAAAGTTACTCTTGGCTTTAGTTCTCACAGTTGAAGACAGCATGGGTAACATATAACTCTGGTCAGTGAATATATATTTGAAAAATGGTCATATGTGGAGCAACATGATTCATCTCTAAATTATCTTAGTTGCAGCAGAGTTGAAAGCATTGAAGCAGAACTACTCCCTGTTCCATTAAAATACTAAATCTTAGAGATGCTGTGCGCAGAGTCAAGGACCTGTCTACTTCCCATGAAGGTGGGTCTCCACTTCAGGAAATCTCAGTGGATGTGTAAATGTGCAAACTGGACAATAACAGCATACTAGCATTGAAAACATGAAGCTAGGAGACAATAAACTACATTCATTCAGATATTTCCACCAGGAAGCAATAACTATGTAAAGGCATCTCATACCATTAGTGACGCTATCTGCACATTCACATTTGATGCTTCGAGCTTATTCCAGAAGTGTGGATGTTCACTTTACTTCCAGCATGTCCTTTAATGAAATCAACAGGTAAACCAACCATTCAAGCAGAGTAGTTTTCAAAAAGGGTGTTATATATTCAAAGCCATGAGTGGTCTTTACAGAATTCTTCTGGCAAAACTGTGCATTTAATCTGGGAGCCATTAGAAAGTGTGGCGCTAGAGATGAAAGAAACCAGAAATTCCATATCACAATGCAGCTTGATCAGTAATTCATGGGCCAGGTAATCCACAATGACTTGTCGGTCCTTTGATTGTGCCCGGTTTATAGCTATTAGCAGTTTCCCCTTTCAAATTTGTTTGCCTCCATACTTCCTTTCTGACCTCTTTTTCATCATTTATGATCCAATTTGGTTGAGGAAAAAAACATAACTGCTGTTTGAGTGCATGGCTGTCATTCAAACCCCATTACATTGCCAAGACATTTGACGTTTGCAACTTTCTGGTGGGGTGGGGGCAGGGAGGACATTAAGCAGGTGTACAAAACACTAACCAGGTGCCTTTAACAATACTTTATGGGATTCGCAACTTGCCTTCAGGCTATAAACCTGTTTCAACCTCAGTTTCCAATATAGACTGAACTTTAATACTGGGCATTATATTCAGCCAAATGAAAGTTGCTTACCTCTATCATCTGAGTATAAACAACAGAAAATAGACTGAAATATGGTAAAATATATTAAAAATAATTTGTAAAGGGTTTAGAAAAGACTGGTCAAAGCTTTGTCTTTGATTCTGTCTCCTGACTTAAAACAGCTGAAAATTTAACAAAAAGTTATCAATACATTAGCAGGAGAACCATATTAGATCACCTTTAGATGCATCATAATTTTCACTGACATTTTAGAATGCTATGGAATATTTCCAATGTAGCTGTGTTACATGCTAATCCAATTATGGAAAAGTTTTTGGTGGTGGGGATTTAGATACCTAGAACCACTCATCCCCAGATAGCAGGTTATGGAATTCTGGGAGTGGTATTCCAAAAACTACCTTTGTCTTACAAATGCTCTAAGCTTATTTTCACTTACCTAGAAAACCTCTTCAGCTAGAAGCCTAAACATGTTAGGAATATGTCTCTCCACATGAACCTGCATGAGATTTAAGATCTCCATATGAGCACTTATTTCCATCCTACCATGACCATCAAAGGTATTATTGGTGAGGGCACAGTAGAGAACCTTCTCAATGTTCTCTCCCAGGCTGAGAGCTCTTCCACACAGCCATATAACCCAGAATATCAAGGCAGAAACCCCCACAATATTTGTTTTGAACTGGGTTATCTGAGCCCACACTGCCATATATCCCAGTTCAAAGTAGATAATGTGGGATTTTATTCAGCTCTGTGGAAGGGACCTAAAATGGCTCAATTTCTGCCCTCTATCTGGTGACAGGTAAAGACAGGTTGTGCATCCCTTATCCAAAATGCTTGAGACTAGAAGTGTTTAGATTTTCAGACTATTTGGAATACCCATATTGGCATTTGCTTTCAAAATAGGATATTTTGAAGAGGTGAATCCAAGTCTAAACAAAAAAATTAATTTATGTTTCATATGCACATAGTCTGAAGGTAATTTTATACAATATCTTAATAATGCATAAAACAAAATTTGTGTACACTGAATTATCAGAAAGGTGTTATTATCTTGGTCAGCTTTGGATTTTGGAGTACAAGCAATCCATAAGTTACGAACAAGATAGATTCAGTTGTTTTGTTCTTGAGTTGAATTTGCATGTAAGTCAGAACAGGTACATTTTTAAGTATAACTCCAGATATCTGTCTATCTATCTATCATCTCTCTATCCATCCTTTGGATAGCATAGGGAAGGGTTAACACTCCGGTGGTGTTGGTTTTTGCTGTCTGTGCCCCTGTTCAGAAGATTTTACCTCACTTTCTGTCCTTGTGATAATTGGATTTTGAAAAAAAATGTTGTGGAAACAAGGATTACTGATCAAGCTTCAGTGGAAACACCTTTTCTCCATGATAACTCTTTCAGGGGTTAATTTCCCTTCCTAGGGGTGCATTTCTCTCACTTCCTGTTATCTCAGCCCCATTCTTAACTATGAGTCATTTGTAAGACAGATGTTTGTAACTCCGGGACTGTCTTTATTAGGGATTTCAGAATTCTGGAAAAGTGATGCCCATCCTGTATCTTATATTTGTCAATATTTAGGCAATATTTTAAAATAGGTTTTGTTGGACTGAAGAAATAGAAAGGAAATGCTGATTTTGTTTCCAGAAGCCCATGATCATCAACTACAGTTTTACATTTTATTATGTATATAGTATTCCAAAATGCCTCTCCTTATTCTTAATCATAGTTCCTTCCTGATTCAAGTAATATATTATGGTGTAGCAGGTGGGCTTCCTATTCCAGTAATTCTCTTCATTTCCTGCTACTTCTTTTCATTCTGTCTTGCTCTGAACATTTTTTTGAATACACTTTTCTTGCTGTGGCCTAAACTTTTTTACTTGTACCCTTTTTCTTTATGGAGATAGTAAGGACATTACTCTATCCCATGCCACCTGAATGTAGAGCTCAAATATATTATAAAAATTGTAGATATTCCTCTCTTTTTTAATTCAAAAGACTATCGATCCTCCTAAAGATCAAAACCAGAAGATGTTTGATTCAGAGATGGATTAACTTCTCTCTACCCACCAACTGGTAATTTCTTGTAATTTATCTGCTCTTCTATAAGGAATGAAAACCACAGGGGAAATCTGCATCAGCAACAGTTCCGTTTTCTCCTCTTCCCCCCGTTTTTGACCCTAATTCAGCAGAGGAAAATGTCCAAAAAGAAATGATTTGGAGATAGGAGGTTGAAATTTCCCTATCCCATGCAATAATCCTAATACAGACAGTTGGGGCAATCTGCTTACTTTCAGAACCCAAAGACAGGATTTACAAATTAAATAATTGACATAACATACAGTTTGACTTATTAGTGATATTTAGCAGCAGTGCTGGTTACACATGGCTGCCTAAAGTGGAAAGCAAATGGTGCTCCCTCCAGGCCTGTACTTTAAAAATGACTTCCTGCACCATATAGACATCATTTCCTGTCTGCATTTATTACATCCACTCCCAGGTGCCGTCTGAAGTAGATTCAATGTAGCTTAATATGTGGGATATAATTTTTCACTAATTTCATTCTCAAAGGAAACAATAAATAATTTGAACAATTTTCTTCACACTGTGAGATAGTCTTTGAAAACTACATTTCTGAAAACTATTCACAGTACTGAACGTTTTCTGTGCACCTTTTGCAGAAAATGATTTTTGTGTGTGAAGGAAGCAGCATTTTTTTTCTGCACAGAAAATAATATTTCTCCACTGATTTTCTGTGCTAAAAATTCTCTTTCTATCCCCATCCCATTTGCAAATGTTGAGCCAAATAACTCCCAAACTGTGAAGATTTTAATCAATCCAGGATTGTTCTTGTCAAGGTTTCCTGATGCTCAATAAACATATTTCCCAACAAAATTTCAGTTATTGTTAGAACATTCTTGAACTGCATTATTTGAGTCCACAGTGACCATATAATGCACTTTGAAGCTTCATTATATGGTGGTTTAAATGGGGCCTATGTCTTCATGTTGCAACCCTTGAACTATAGCTTTGGTCTGATAACACACATAGCACATGGTTTAATTTTTTAAAGATCTCTGTGAACAATCTGATAAGGCATTTTCAATACAAAACTTATTCTTCACCCAGGAACTCACTTAGGTCTTTATTGCATGAACCCTGCATTACACTGCAGTGATAGTGAATACATAAGCAGACTACAGTACTCTGCTAATGAAGTGGGGAGAAAACCCAGATCAACAGAACTAGGGTGAAACCATTTTTCACAGTACAGATATAATAATAATAATAATAATAATAATAATAATAATAATAATAGACCATCACTTATTGTTGCGTACAATATGCAGCTAAAACCACCCAAATACTCATACTTCTTTTTATAGCTTTTGGATGGTACACCAGTACTTGCCAACACACAACCGCTCCATTTGAAAGCATTATTAGGGAGCAACAGCTTACTTTCTATCAGCAATAGTATGGGGATTTTTGCATTAATTATTAAGGATAGAGGTATTTCTTACAAATTCTTACAAATCTGCCTACCTGCTTCTGTAGGTTTAAAGGGTGGGAAAACTGGGAGATTTAGTTCTAATCTTTAGTTGTCACATATACAAATTTCATGAAGATGTCAAATTTTTGCAAGTTGGCTGCAATGTCTCCGCATGGTGGAAATATGAAAGGAGTCCGATTGATCTTGACATTTACCAGCCCTCTTGTTAAGCAAAGGTAACAAATGGTGTCATTGCTGAAACGAGTGAAACAATATTTTCAGTCATGGTTACAGTCAGAGGCAGAGTCTGGGGCAATGAACCAGAAACCAAAAGGGAAACCAAAATATTCAACATCCACCCAGGATTGTTTTAACTTAGCTAAGTACATTTTTGATCAGGAAACCATGACCTCTTTGCTTAACGATCCTGGTGATTTATAGGATTAACAAAAATAAGAGTGAGTCATGAGTAATTTTATATACCGTTATTCAAACATATAGCTATAGAGATATAGACTCAGCACATTTTTAAAAAAAATGTTTTATTTTTGTTCAGCAGCCCTGATATAATTGCAGCATCTTATATCCATGGTTTATTTATTAAGATTATCTATACAGATATATACTAGTATTACATTTGCCTTTGTTGTGAGTGTTCAGTGAAGTTATCTTTAAACATTTGTTCCATTGTTCCACTGAAACTCAAGCAGAAGGCTGAGAATAACATATAACTGTGGGTATTCTTTTCTGCACACCATCAAAGCCAAGTTTCTAATTTTAATTGATTTCAAGACTCCAGAATGGATCCAACTACAATGGCAATGGTTTGAAAGCAACCCTGGATTTATTGGTGAGTGTGCAGGGACGGTGAAAGGAAATGTTATTGCTAAGTCGCATAATGCAGTGGCAAATAAAATCTAACAACC